GATTTGTACTCACCATCCATATTGCCCCTCTGACCCCTCAAGTACTCCTGGCGGTACCTCTGGCGTCGGCCCGCGTTTCGTCGACAGCGTGAACGCTCACCCAGAGAAAGGTCAAGATCAGATCCCCACATCTTTGATGATTGATTCCTTCTGCATAGGGGGGGTAAGTACAGTCAAGGCGCTGAAGTACGAACCACGTTAGGCCCATGGGCTCTGGTTTCCCAGCCGCTCACCCGATTTAGCTCCGGGAACCCATCTGGGGCCCAGGCTGGCCGTCGCCAGGAAGGCCACCCTGCTCCTTACTCGCTCCCCACGCTAGCGCGATGACTGTACCCCAGCATGCGGCGTCGTGGGCAAGCTTGTTCGCGGGTGCCGTTGTTCCAGGGCTCCTCGCTCCGCCTCCTCCTTGCTCCTCGCTCCTTCCTCCTCCTTCCTCCTCCCTCCTCCATCCTCATCCTCCCCCCTCGCTCCTCGCTTCCCCTCCTCCTCCTCCGCCTCCTCCTCCTCCTCCTGCTCCTCCTGCTCCTCCTCCTCCTCCTCCTCTTCCTCCTCTGCCTGCTACTTTTCCTCCTCCTCCTCCTCTCCCTCCTCCTCCTCCTCCTCCTCCTCCTTCTCCTCCTCCTCCTCCTCTGCCTGCTACTTCTCCTTCTCCTCCTCAATCTCCTCCCCCTCATTCATTAATTCATTCATCGATGAGGTGGACGGTTCGAAGCCTATACAGAGCAGGATGAGAGAGTAAGCAAGGAGATGGATGAGAGAGCATATCACATGAGGAGGTGAGATGCTGAGCCACGGATGCCTCCTGTGCTCCTGCCACGGGCGCGCAAGAGAGGAAAAAGGGCAGGCAAGACAATTAGGAAAAGAAGAGCCTTCACACAGGAGGCGATGGTACTGCCAGCGGCGCGCTGCACCCCGAAGTGCAGCACCCACACGTTACTACTTTTTAGCGTGAGTGTGACACGGGCGCCAGCCAGCGAGGCTGGGGCAATCCTTCACGTGCGGGCACTTCCCAGGTTTGAGCTACAGACCAGCGAGGGAGTGAGATTGAAAGCCCGGGGTCCTTGGCGTCACAGATCCCACAGGTTGGTGGCAGGTGGTCGCCTGCGAGGGTAGGTGATGCAATCGGTGCGAGACAAGTCAGTGTAAGGGTCCAGGGGAGCGTAAAACCCACGGAGACCAAACGGAAGATCCCAGTCATCTTCGACTAACTGTAAATCCAACCGTCTACGAAGTCTAGCCTCCTTGCGAAGGTCCCAAGACAAGGGCCTAGCACCTAGGGTGCCAGGGGCGGAGCCCCAAGGGGTGCCATGACGGAGCTCTTGGTGTGCCTCGGGGGAGCCCTCGCGAATCTGTTGCATGAGTGCAGCAGCCAGCATCCTGCATAACTGTGTGGGCAACCTGCGAAGCGCATCCTCCCCCCTCCACTCTGGTGCGATGCTCGCCACTCGCCTTGCCTGGGGACTCGCATGGTTGCAAAGGAGCCCCCCTTGAGCGTCACGAATCCTAGCGTCCAGAGCCGACATCCTGACTCCCAAAAGACATGTGGGGGTGCGAGCGCTGCCGCCGAACCTGCATACATGGAGGGTGTGCTTAGTAACTCCCTCCATTTTTTCGAGTGTGACGACCTCGGGAAGGACCAAACACTGGGTGAGCGAACGCCTGCTTCCTCTTGGGCAGGATGGGCAAGGATGGCAGGAACGCAAAGCTTGAGAGCCTCGTAGAGCAGCAAGAGAGAGACACGCAACAACCTGTTGTCACTATGAACCTGCTCACTCTCGAAACTACGCAGTGCTCCCCTCCCCCAAGGGTTGTTGGAGTCACGAAGGGTGCAAGGGTCTCCCTCTCTTGACCTGTGCTGCTGGCCTCCTGTGGTCCACGTCCTGGATGGGGGGGTCGCAACAATGCCTGCCACCCTGCCTGATCTGAGGAGGTCAAGCCAAACTTCCCCCGATGAATCATCGGCAAGGTTAGCCAGTGGCGAGGGGTGATCACCATAGATACTCAGCACGACACACCTTGTGGGAAAGAGGGGCTGCAACCTCTCAAAGTGGTCCTGGAGATCACCCTGCCACCGAGGCCCCCCATAGAGGTGCAGAATATCTTTGAGGGGCCGAACCGGGAGTCTACTGTGCACCTCCACTCTAGGCGCCACTGCTGTAGGGGGAGCAGCAGGAGGGGAGAAGACAAGCTGACGCCTAGATAATGGTGCCCGAGGTGCAATCGGAGGTCCCTGACATTGAAGCCAAGGAAGCGCAGCGAAGCTATCAGACCGCCCTTGCTTCCTATCGAGAGCAGCCTCTTGCTTGGCTTCCTGGCGCGCCTGAGCTAGCTCATCTGCTGAGGGTAAATGTCCCGACGAATGCCAGGCAATTTTGCAAGCAGGAGCGTTCGAGAGATGTTTAACCAAGCGTGTGATATGACGGAAATCACGTAGGAACACTTGGCACAGCGTGTCAGTTGCCATGTTGCTGGGTGAGAGTGACGACTTATGAACTTTGCCCACATGGGCGTGAAGCTGCTGAGCACTCAACATGTCCACATTCATAGCAAACAAAGGCAACCGAAGAGGGGGAGGGGTCAGAAGTGCTCGGTGTGTCCAGCCCGACCTGTTGAAGCCTGCGTAGCCAAACCTCTAAGTGCGCTTTGTCCCTGTGAAACCTCTTGGCCTTGATGATAGCACTTCGTAGCATGCTTCTGAAACGTCTACAAACGTTCCTAACAAAGGAAATCCAAGCTTCGTCCCCTTCCTCTGGGACAGGGCACTCGGTAACAAAGAAATGAAGCCACTCAATGTCTGCACGAACGAGCGATGGCCATCCCCAGGGGTCCTCCCAATTCAGGTCCAGAAGGGCCCTAAGTACTGGAGGGGCCTGCCTCAAAACCCTGGCCAGAAGACGCAAACGCCCAACCGAACGAACAACTGTAGTAGGTAAACGGTTGGTGTCCAACAGCACCTGTGCGTTAATGAGGTGGTCCTCAGCATTGTTGGTGGCAGGCAAACCCGCAGCAACACGGTAAACCGCTAAGTGGGCCGTTTGAATCTTCTTGAATTGAGCCGCAGTGAGACGGGTCCACTCGGGGGCACCAAAGAAAAGCACAGAGGAAGCCAGGGCCTCTGCCAACGTGACTTTTTTGGCAAGCGGCAGTTGGCTACGGGGGGGCCACGGTATGCCGAATGGGCCGTGGAGCTTGAAAGGTTTTGGCGGCGCGGGCCTGGACGTCGGGCCCCAGGGATCCATCAGCCGCAACTTGGCTGCCAAGAATTTTGCGGACAAGGGTGGTGGGAAATGAAAACCCCCAACGTGCAGAAGTGATGTCCGAGATGGCCTTGCCCGGTAAACTGCGCAGCGCAATGCGGGAACCTTTGCCATTGAGAGAAACCACCAGCTTGGTTCTGGCGCCATGCATCGAGAAGCCCGCCGAGGCGGCAGCACAATAAACGTTCTCGGCAAGGGTAAGGGCGGAGGCCAGGACTTCTGCCGGGCTCTCGAGCGGTAGGAGTACTGTGAGATCGTCAACAAAAGAAAGGTGAGTGCACGCTGTGTCCCAGTCCCTTCCCGTTGCGATCTTAAGTGGCGGAGCGTCGCACGCTTCCTGCCACGAACGCCCCATGGTCTGGATGCCTTGCCGTATGTTCAAGTGCACCTGCCGAAACACCGAGTTGAAAATGTCGGTTGCTGCAACTGTGCCTGGTCGAGAGCCCAATGACGGTGCAACAAATCCCTCAGCCTCCCTAATTTTCCAATGAGTGCCTCTCTGAGTGTCTTGAGTGAGAGCCAAGAGCGCATCCCTGGGAAAGTGACTGTCCAGGAGGGGTTGCCTGCCCAACTGCGCTTCAACTCCTTGGATGAAAAGAGGGGGTAGAGAGAGCTGGTCGAGCGACTCAGAGAGGCGAGCCTCGTCGCCAGGCAATTGTAGAGCTAGTTGCTTGATAGTGGTGTAAAATGCTTGAACCAGGTCTAGACAAATGACAATGCCCAAGGAGCGACTGTGAATGCAGTGGCGGAGGAATGTACGGACCGCCAGTGTAATCATGTCTACACTCCTGCCCCCAACCCCACCGCATTGTTCGCAAAGAAGGGCGGACGCAAAAAAAGCCATGTGCCAGCGAACGTAGGTGCTTGTGGTAAGCTTGCAGAGTGCACTGGCCAGGAGGATGTTGCGTTGGTCTTTAGCGACCGAGGGCGTCCCAGAGCCCTTATCAAAAATTCGTCACCTGTGTGGACCACCCACTTGGGCGTCCCAGAGCCCTTATGAAAACGTATAAAACTTCGTCGCCTAAAAACTTTCGCCATTAGGATCACCCACTTCGTCGCCCGTGTGGACGCAATCAGGAAAAAAATTGGAGAGGACCATTCCGCGTTTCTTTCTCGCACGGCCGACCAGATACTGCTGGCCGCGGGCGCCCACATGCCCAGGAAAGAGTGGAATCATATCAATAGGCTTCTCGCAATTGGGGGGGAATCTAGAGGCGCCTCCTCCCTCTCCAAGACCATCCCCTTCATGACGGACGAGGGAGTATCAGAACCCAGTAAGCGCCCAGACGGCTCGGTCGGACCCTTGATCCTCAGCACACATGAGCAAGTGTCTCAAAATATGCAGCGGCACTTTTGTAAAGTGGAGAAGGGACTCGACACATGTTTGCCAGACATTCGCAAACTTATAATCAGCTTCCTGACCTCCTGAGCAGCATGGACCAGCACTTGCTCAAGTATGTACCCACCCCCTGGACCTGCAACATCTCATGCGTGCCTTCAAGAAGGGCAAGGCCCCAGGCATTGACGGTATACCCAGCTGCAGATTCAAGATTGCTCCCCTTCAGTTGTCTAGGTTGCTGGGGCCTTTGCTGGTTAAAATCACGATTGGGGGTAGAGAACCCTTTGTTTTCAAGCTCCTCCCCCTCCTCCTCCTCCTCCTCGCTCCTCCTCCTCCTCCTCCTCCTCCTCCTCCTCCTCCTCCTCCCTCTCCTCCTCCTCCCCCTCATCCTCCTCCTCAGGTGGCCATCCTCTCCCTCCCCTTCCGCCTCTGTGGCCGTTCTGGGCTCCGCGCCCCCGGGCTTCCGCCCGCGGCTCCTCGGTGCAACCGTCCGCGTGCCGCGAGCCCCCGCCCCGCTCTGGCCTTTTCGCGGACCGGCCTCGGGCGGGCCGGCTCGGAGATAGCCTGACCTTACCTTCGTTGGGCGTTGCGTAATGGGGGTGTCGTAAATGGGGGGGTGGCCAAGGGCGCCCTCGAGGGCGCGAAGTTATTCGCGCTTCGCGGTTCGGCTCCAATTCCTCCTCCTCCTCTTCTCCCTTAGGGGGCGGCGCGAGAGCGCGAAGTTATTCGCACTTCGCGCAACGCCAAGCGCGAAGTTGGGTGCCCTTGGTGGCGAGGGTGGTTCGAAAAGGTCCCCTAACGGTACGTAAACGAGCCCCTTGGGGCTCTGGAGGGCCCCGACAGGGGCACGAAAGGGAACCGTCTCTACCCCCCCATTTGTAATTTGGGGGTCGTAAATGGGGGCGCTTGCACGCACGAAATGGGTACAGAAAGAATGGGTATAATGCCCAACCGCAGCTCCTGTTCATTTGGAGCAGGGCTCGCTGTCCGCGCAGCCGCGGCCTGTGTCCACTTGAGAAAGAAGGCGGCCTGCCCAACAGCGGCCGCTGTCGGTTTGGAACAACACTTGTTGTTGGGCACTGTACCCGTTTTTTCCGTACCCATATCGGGCGTCCACAGGGGTGGCGAGGGAGGTCCGAAAAGGTTCCCTAACGGTACGCAAACGAGCCCCCTGGGGCCTTGGAGGGACCCGACAGGGGCACGAAAGGGGACCGTTTCTGACCCCCCCATCCGCCCAACTTCGCCAGGGGACCTCAGTCGGGGGCGGCCAAGAGGGGGGTGATGACTAGGGGAGGGGAATATCATGGCGGGGGCCATGATGTCTCCCCCGATTTCAGGGCGCCTCGTCTTACTTCAATACTTCCGCGGCCGCCCCCTGGGCCGCGCACATGCCTTGGGTCATGATTTGCACACACCCCTCTTGGACGTCCCCCTCTTGGACGTCCCCGACCAGAGTCCAGGGCACAGCATGCTAGGATTAAGTCGGGCACGTCCTTCTACAGGATGAATATTAAACAATAGTGAGTACATAGTCTGAGGATGATTGTCCGATGATTTGTTAATCAATTCTGCATATGTTTGATTAATGTGTTTTTTCGTCCAAAACCCGCCTGTAGGAGGACATGCCCGACCTAAAGCCAGCACATTGTAGATCTCCAGGCCGCCCAATTGGAACCGGAGCGGGTTGGGTCGAAGAATCGCCCCGCATCGCCGGCGGATCGGCGGCGAGGTTCATTCAATCCAGGGCCCGATCTCCTCTGCCGGAGGCGCGTCGCCGATGCATCGGCGATCTGGGGCAATCCTCCGACCCCGTCTGCTCCAGCTCCGTTTGAGAAGGTACCGATGCTATACCAGTTCCCTTACATCGTCGCCATGGCCCGACTCGCCTGGAGATCCTGGTCAGGACACGCTCCAGAAGAGGTCCGTGGTCCGTGGAGTACAGTCGGGCCTCTAAAGAAGGAGCCCTGTTCGTTGCGGTTTGCAGATTTCCTTGGTTTGTCCTTAGATGTTCCATGGGAAATCGAAGTTTAACTTATGGAAAGAAGGTGGGGCCTCGCTCCCTATTAAGGATTCCTTATGTCAGCATGTCGATTGTAGCAGTATCGGTACCCCTTTGCCCACAAACAATGTCGGCCAGAGCAGGCGGGGACCCGGGAGGTTTCGGCCCGCGGCGCTTCGCCTTCGCGGGCTCGCCGGCAGCGCCCTGGTCTGTCGGAATCCCCGTCTGCGAGGCCCCAGCTCCAGCGGATGGTACCTGGGGGCGCCCCGCCAGCGTCGAAGAAGAGAAAACGGCACAAGCACAAGCTTTTGGCGCTCGGTGCGGGCTGCAGACCGCGCGGAGCGCCGAGAGCTGGTGTGTATGGCGCTGTCTCTTCTTCTGCCATCAGAGTGCGCAGCGACGGGTCCGCTGCCCCGCAGTGGCCGCCCCGGGGGCGGGCGCCGCCGCCAGTGGGCCGCCCTGCCGGCGGGCGCGCTGCTGCCCGCCGCGTTGGCGGCATGGGCCGCGGCGCCCGCGGGGGCGGCGGCCCAGGAGCGGAGGCCCAGAGGTGGGCACCACTCTCGGCGGCGTGCCTCCAGGGAGGGAGCACGATCCTGAGCCCCTCCTCCTCCGCCTCCTCCTCCGCCTCCTCCTCCTCCGCCTCCTCCTCCGCCTCCTCCTCCTCCACAGTTACACAACACGAGCACTGCTCTCCTCTCTCCCCTGGTGGCGTCCCGGGAGTGTCCGGCCCCCCTCCGCGCACGGGTTTTTTTATGCCGGAATCCAGGGAGTTGGGTTTTCGCTTGGGATTTGTTCAGGATGCTGCTCTCGCTGAAGCGTTGGCTTCATTTTCGGGCTACTCCTTCTTCCGAATCGTGCTCACGCTGCAGCACTGGCCTCATTTCCACGCTTCCGTTCGCTCCGAATCGTGCTCCCGCTGCAGCGCTGACCTCATTTCCGCGCTTCCGCTCGTTCCGAGTCGTGCTCCCGCTGCAGCGTTGGCGTCATTTTTTCAAGGCCATGCCACTGCATGGTTTTCGGTCCTTCCAAAGAGGCCCCAACATTTAGAAAATGGCCTCCCGAATAAACCATCGGAAGTGATTACGCATTCGGTGTCGACTCCACCTCGGGGCGTCGCCACGCCATGCTATGTCATGCTACGCGTTGATCTTCGACACCATGTTGTACCATGTAATGCTATGCCATGCTACGACATGGTAAGGGATGGGAGGGAGGGGGGGAGATCTACGCCATGGTAAGGGATGGGAGGGAGGGGTAGGAGTCAGATATGATGCGAGCGCACCTAGCTTGTCCTCCCCCTCCTCCCTCCTCCCCCTCCGCCTCCTCCTCCTCCTTCCTCCTCCTCCGCCTCCTCCTCCTCCTTCTCCTCTCTCGGTGATGGTTGTAATCGGGGAACAAACAATGATATGAACATAACAACTCGGAGGAATCCGCGCGGATTCCTCGGATCTCCTCTCTCGGTGATGGTTGTAATCGGGGAACAAACAATGATATGAACATAACAACTCGGAGGAATCCGCGCGGATTCCTCGGATCGGCGCTGGGGCGTTCTGGCGGCGCTTCCGGGCGGCATTGGCGCGCTCCGCACGCCGTTGTCTTTTCCCCTAGGGAACACTCGGGCTTTCTAGGTGGTCGAAAAGTTGCCACCAACATCAAAGTCTAGGATCACCATGTACCGTGGGAGGCAACCTCCTGCTGGGATGCGACTCCTGAGAGGAATACTTCTGCATCGGCGCTGGTATTTTCGCGGTCGGTAGCCAGCTTCGTCTGGTTTAATCCTACCTAATCCGGCTTGATCTTGGCTAATCTGGCTCAATCCGACACAATCCGGCCTAATCCCAGGCTCAATCCGGCCTACTCTGGCGAAACGCATTTCAACAACATGTTTGATCGCCTTCAGTCGTTCCCCCAAGGACCTCCCAGGAGTTGCCTCCTGGCCCCCGTGTTGGTGCTGGCGCCCGTGTCCCAGACCCCCGACGTCATGAGTTGTTTCATCACGTCGGCCCCGAGAGGTCTCGACCTATTCCCCAGGACCGGCTTTTCATCCTCAGTCGTTGTATGATGGTCCCGACGCCTGGTAAGGGCCCTCCAGAGGCCGAAAATAGTGGAAAACCGCCCTTCGTGTTTTTTTCATGACTCACGGCGCCAACATCGCAGAGCGGATTTCGTCCGGAGAATTGTCCTGGAGAAATTCGTTCTGGATTTCGACGTGAATTTCGTGCGGATGGTTTGGGGCCAGGAATGAAGATCACAAGCGATCCACGTGAAGCTCACGCCGTTCTCTGCTCGCCGCTTCGGGGTTTTGCATCGCCAGACGCCCACGCAGAAATCCGCGGCAGAGCGTCTGCAAGGTCTGTGCAGTGACCTGACGCGAGGGGGGCTCCGGGGCCCGAGACCCCCGCAGGAGTCGGCCATGCGCGGGGCGCCCGCGCGCAGGGCGCGCGGCGACGACCGCGGCGGAGAGCTCGCGGGGCCGGAGCGCGCGGTTGGCCGCGGCGCCCGGGACGGCAGCGCGCAGAGCGTGCCGTTGCCGCGGGCCGCGCCGGGGGAGAGGCCTCGGAGCTGACGAAGAGGGGGGCGAGGACCAGGGGCCTGTGCATTTTTTCTCGGCGAGGGCCATCGAGGAGCATCCTTGACTACTTGCCGAAAAAACCACGCGCGAAGCCGGAGAAAGCGCAGGGAATGGACGTCCGAGCGATGGCCAGGTGGTGTGTGGATGTCACGGCGGGGGGGCATTTATCTCAACACGTCTCTCAAGCAGCGGCGAGGCGTCTTGGCTCGCCTATAGCCCTACCGAACAATGTTCTAAGAGCCTTTTGTGGTTTCCGCGAAATGTTCTTGGAACATTTCTGGCGGAGATTGTCTTGTTTTAACACAATGGGGCTCATGTTCTAAGAACATTGTTTTTGTTCTGAGAACATTATTGGGTTCTAAGAACATTTCGTGGTATGACTATAGGAATGCCGGGACGGTCGGTCCCTGCTCGAGTCTCTGCCCCCCCCCCTGTGCCGCGCACATGCCGCCGGCCACGATTTGCGCCCCCCTTCTTGGACGCCCCCCTCTGGGCCGCCCCCGAAGGCTGGCCGGGGTGCTCCCGTCGGACGGGCCAGCGGCGACGAGTGCGGGGGCGGCAGGGGTGCTGGCCAGGTCAGGGGCAACGATAGGGGGGGGATATCCCTTGAGATCCTGGCGTTGCCACTGTTTCACACCGGGCGTTTTCGCCAGGCTTCGGGCCCCAGGACCCTCACAGATCGGTCCGGCTCGAAGCATGATGCAGGAAGCTGGGGTTCGGGGCTTCGGGTGTGGTTTTTTACGACGCCGCAGTTGCTTCGCTTCGTCGCATCTCAGGGGGGGTCCCTTGGATTTTGTATTAAGTCGGGCCTGTCCCTCTACAGGGGGAATATTCAAACATAGTTGTTTTTTAAAGTTGTCTGGGGACTATTTCTTTACTATTTTGGAGCATCTTTCGAGCATTTTTTGAGTAATTTCTAGTTTTCGTCCAAAATCCCCCTGCAGGGGGACAGGCCCGACCTAAATGCTGAAGGGGGTGGGCGTAGTAAAGAAACGGGGCGGGTCACGACCCTGCCAGACCAGCCGTTCCTCGGACGCCCCCCCCCAGGCCGGCCATGGAAGGGCGCCCTTTTTGCCCACCCCCCACTGGAGAAGACAGCTCAAGTCAGACCCCCCCCCAATCAGACCTTCCCCACTTTCTATTGCGGAATGGGGAGTAGGCATAGGGGGCGATGCATCGACCCCCAATCGCCCATTGATCGCCGATGGAGGTCTGATAGCCCCACCCCGCCCAGGAGTATGCTGATTCGCTATCGAGGCCCGATCGCCGATCTGCCGGCGATGTATCGCCGATTCTAGGTCGATGGTCCCCCCCTCTGTGCCGGTTCCCCTGATCGTTGCCTCTCACCAGGAGGGCTTCCGCAGGTGATGCACTCCGCTTCGCGGGGGGGCACGGCTGGACAGGCGTTCCGTCTTCCGTCTCGGGGGCCTGACCGTGGGGGACATCTTGGGGCCAGGCCATGCAGGGGCCCTCTTGGACCGTCTTGGGGCCTGCTTGGGTCTTGTCGGGCCATCTTGGAGTGGCGGGGTTCTCTTGGGGCCGTCTTGAGGATCGTCGTGGGGCCCTTTGAGGGCATTGGTTGCTGGGCTGTTTTGTAGCCCTCTCGGATCGTTTTACGCCCCTCCGCGGGCCCTCTTGGGCCCTCCTGGGCCTATTGCGAAGGCCTTACGGCCGGTGCCGCCGACCCTGAAGACGGCGACGACGAGGACGACGATGAATTTGAGGATCAGGTGGCGGAGAACGCTAGGGAGCAGGAGGGGCGAGGAGGAGGAGGAGGAGGAGGAGGAGAAGGTGCGAGGTGCGAGGGGGGAGGAGGAGGACGAGGAGGGGGGGGAGAGGGGGGAAGACGAGGAGGGGTGAGAGCAGGGGGAGAGCGAGGCGAGCAGGGACGCATTTGCAGGAGAATGACGGCTGACAAGGTTGAGTCGTATCCCGGGACCCCCCCCCGGCGGGGCAGGGATCAAAGGGAAGGGGATTCCCTTCGACTCAACTACAACGTTGCTCAATTTCGCTGTGGCTGGCGCGCTCGAGGAGGAGGGCCCGCTGAAAGTGGGGGGAGCGGCGACGGGCCTAGGGAAAGGGGGGGGGAACGGCGAAGGCGACGACGACAACGACAACGACGACGATGACGACGACGACGACGACGACGACGACGACGACAACGAGTCAAACGGAGCAGCCTCTTCCACACGCCGACAGGGTCGGACCTTTCTGGATCATCTTGTAACGACATTGCGTGCCTTTTTGGACTGCCCTGTACGCTCTGAAAACCAAAAAAAACACGAGCATGGATTCTCAAAGCGTACAGCATGGTTTTACCCTCCTGGGGGCTCCTTGGAGAACTTGGGAGTCGTTTAGAAGTCCCCTTGGGGCGTATCTCACCGTCGCTGGCCCTCGTGGTCTCTTGGAACCATCGTGAAGCCGTGTGAGCCCCCTGGGCCATCTTGGGGCCGAGTTGGACCGTCCTGGGGCCATGTCGGGTCGTCTTGGAGCCTGCTTGGGCCGTCAAAGAGCCAAACCAGCGGCTAAAGAACGGCCAGCGAATACCGGGCGCGGCCCGCCGGGTGGGTGGGCGGGAGGGACGTCGGCATTGTGCTTACACATTGTAAGCCCTCAGTGCACCACAGATGCAAGTGGCAGATTTGGTTGGGTGGTTGGGGGGGCTGCGCCCCAAAATCGCCCCCTGACCTGCTCCTGCGTCACAGTCTGGCCGTGGCTCTCTGTCTACCGCCACATCCGCCGATACCTTGACATTTGAGACTACGGTTGGCCATTTAGAGCGCTTATATTATACATAATACAAGCAGCCAGGAAATGTTGAGGAAGATAAAGGCGAGGAGAAAGATCATAAAGAGGATGAGGAGGATGAGGACGACAAGGAGGACGAGAGCAGGAGGACGAGTATGAGGAAGGGATTGAGAATGAGGAGTTGGTTATATATATAGGAGTTGATTGAGAACGAGGAGACAGAGAGAGAGAGAGACGTGGAGGGGAAGGACGGGAAGATTATGCAATGACATTTCGGAGATGTTGGTGTATTCTTGGGGGCGGTGGGAGCTATTTCGGGGTCCTCTTGAGACTTGGGCCTGCTAAGCCGTGCTGGGACGTCTTGGGGCTTTCCAGGTGCGCATGGGGCCGTCAGTGTGCTCTGAGGGGCCGTGTTGGTGCCCTCTTGGATCCTCTCGTCCCCCTCCACAGGAGCTGTTGGACAGTCTTAGAGCTCTTCTGGAGCCACTCTTGGTCGCATCTTGGGGCCTCGTAAGATCGGAAGAATTCCTGGGGCCGTCTTGAGCCAACAAGCCTGGAAAGCGAAACATTACGCAACATCGAATATTTCCAGTCGGGGCCCAACCTTTGGGCCTCTCGTGCTCATCTTGGTGCATCTCGGGTCGTCTTGGAGAGCCCTTGGTTTTTTCTAGTGGCTTATTGGGACCATCTTGTGGCATCTTGGCGCCCTCTTGGGCCGTCATGGGTCCGTTTGGAGAGGCCCGCACATGCCGCAGGGCCAGCCGAGGACCCACCCTGATCTCCAAAATCCGAAAGTCGACACCCATGTAGGGGGGTCAGGGAGGGGGAGAGGTAACAGGCAAGTGACTGGTGACCCCAGGGAGGTCGGCGGCGAGTTATACAGTCTTGGACGGTGGCACGACCTGCCATGAGATGGGCCTCGTCGATGTGTCGAGCTCGTCGGAGTGCTTCGGCGACGCGATGGACTCCGCCGGGCTGGACGGCCTCGGCACCTTCGAGTTCCCGTCTGCAGCGTTCAGTTGCGTCTTCATCACAGATTTGAATATGGTTTTCTTCGGCGGGAAGAGCGGTTCCGAGACGCAGTCGGATACAACTTGGAAGTACATTTGTTCAGGCACGCTTTCCACCACAGTCTCCTCCACGACTTCGGCAACGGTCGCGAGCACGACAGTCTCTGGCACGACATCGTCTGCCACGGCAGTCTCTGCCACGAGCACGACGTCAACGTCCATGAGTTCGGGGCCTGGCTATACGCTCTTGCCAGCGGGCTTGACGTGCTACGATGTCGGGCTGGCCGACGTCGGGGGCTCCGCGGACTGCTTCGGCACTGCGGCGTCTGCGGTTGGTGTGGTCACCTCGATTCAGACCTACATCCACCTGCCTGCGGCGAGGTCCGCCACCGTGCCGACGCAGCACTGTGTGGCAGCGCTGCGAGCACCGCGGGGAGGACAATCGCACGTGACACCTCTGTCTCCACAGTGGAAGCCCATGCCAAGAAGCACCTTGCTTGCCTGCAGGGTGCCCTGTTTTTTTGGAGGGGGGGTCGATGGTTCTGGCATGGAAAGCGTGACGTTCCTACACCAAAAATCAGTGGACGTCCTGGGGTCTCAGGGTTGGGTTTCTTGTGGAAGGTTTCTTGTGGTCGGGCCCCTGCTGTATTTCTTGAGGGGGTTGGGCATCTATTGTTTTAAGGGGCGGGTAGGGTTAGGGTCCGGATTAGGGTGTTAGGGTTAGGGTTAGGGGTCAGGGTGCGGGTTACGGGTTTAGGATTAGGGTGGTAGGGTCAGCGTTCGGGTCAGAGGGTTAGCGTTAGGGTGTAAGGGTTAGGGTCAGGGGGTTAAGATTAGTATCATGAGGGTTCGAGCTAGGGTGGTAGGGTTAGGGTTAGGGTGTTCGGGTAGGGGTTAGGAGTAGGGGGTTAGGATTGGAGGGGTTGGGTTAGGAATTGGGTTAGGCGCTTAGGGTTCGGGTTCGGGAGTTCGGGTTAGGATGGCAGGATTAGGATTCGGGCTATGTCTAAGTATGGGTTAGGGGGTTAGGGTTAGTAGGTTTGGATCCTTTTGATTAGTTTTATGCCGGAGTCAATCGAGGGCCCACTAGGCCGCCAACCGCAATAAATCAGTGAACCATTGAGAGTCTCAGACGTTGTTTGTGTTATTGTGTTGTTTCGTGTGTTCTGTTTTTGTTTCTTTTGTTTGTGTGTTGTTTCGTTTTGGGGGAGGGCTGTTGCCCCCTGGTTCTTCGGCCATCTTGCACGTCCGCCACAAAAGGAATCCCTTTGTGGCTGGTTACGAAAGCATTCCCCTTTGTGACGGTGTTTTATAGGAGTCTCCCGTCGTAGGCCCCCGACTCAGAGAAATTCAAAGCGGTAGTAAGATTGTTGCAGCCCCGTTCGGTGCAGGATTCCATGTGAAGTTCCACATTCTGTGGTAAGATCCCACACCCAGAAGATTCTCAATGAGATGTCAATAGGAATGGAGCAGAGCCCCGACCCAGATGATTTCAAGTTGGCTCCAACAGAAGTCACACCGGGATGGTGCAAGCCAGATGCAAAGAAACAAACGCCTGGGACTCTGAATTGTTAGTTTGTTTGTCATGGCAGGCAGCCCTGTGGATTCTCGATTGATTCTGAGTCACGTGACATGAACCCATTTGAACATCTAGTCCAGAGATCCTCTCGATTAGGCCCGCTGGGCCGCCAACCAAGATAATTCAGTGAACAACTGAGTGTCTCAGGGCTGTGTGTTGTGTTACTCTTCCTTGCTCTCTCTCTCTCTCTCTCTCTCTCTCTCTCTCTCTCTCTCTCTATATATATATACACACGTATTTACACGTAAGGACTTCGCCCCCATGCCGCCGGCCCCCCTCTCTTAGAATGGGACTTGTCAGAGCTGTGTTGGGATGTTTGGGCGCTGACGTGAAGCAAAGTCGGGACTTCACGCGAGGGCCAATATTAATTTACGATGGTTTATGGCTTCGATGGCGCGAATATCCCGTAATTTACAATGGTCCATGGCTTCGGGGACGCGAATATTGTATAATGTACGAGGGTGTGTGGCCTCGGGGATGCAGACATTGCAGACTTTACAAGAGTTTATGGCTTCGGGGGCGCATATATGGTGTAATTTACAAATGGTGATGGCTTCGGGGACGCGAGACTTATTCAATTTGCAAGAGTTTGTGGCCTCGGGGGCGCAAGTATGGTGTAATTCACAAATGTTTACGGCCGTGGGGACGCGAGTATCGCATAATTGTCGAAAGTGTATGGCTTCGGCGGCGCGAGCATTTTGTAATTTACGTTGGTTTATGGTCTCGCGGGCGCGAATATTGTTTAATTTCTGTCCAGGGTGTATGGCTTCGGGGACGCGAATCTGGCATACATTAGAATGTCGTATGGCTTCGGGGGCGCGAAAATTTAGATTTACAAGAGTTGATGGCCTCGCGGACGCGAATAACATGTAATCTGCTCGGGATTATGGCGTCGTGGACGCGGATATCATGTATATTTACGTGTCCCAGGCCCCCACAGGAATTCAGACAACGCGATCTGGGCGTGGTAGAAAGATGGTTAGGGGCTCCCCCCTCGCGCCTTCAGCAACAATTGACAGTAAGGAAGCAGAAAGACATTAACAGTGGAAACTGGAAGTTGCAAGTGGAACAGTGGGTTGCAACCCTTACCCTCGCAGCTTGCTGGCCCCGCACGGGGGCCAGCGGATATATGTGTATATATAAATATATACACACACGTGTATATATGTGTATATACATATATATATATATATATATATATATGTTTGTGTGTATGTATATATATATATAAACATATACGTATACACAAACATATACATATACATATACATACACATATACATTTACATATACACACATACATACAGATGTAGAAATAGAAGCCGCAACCGCTCTGGTCCAACTCGCCCCTGCGGGGGGGGGGTCGCAATGCCCCCCGCGCCCCTCTTAGAGAATCGTTCGATCGATTTGATGCGCGGCCGAACTCTGCTGGCTCGCCCATGCCAGCTGGAGCCGCTCAGGCCGATGACGACCACAGCCATGGCGAGCAAGGGCACAGAGGCAGACAATCCCTACGGCGAGCAGTGCGACGCACACTACTACATGGTGTTTGCTGGTCTAGGGTCGTTGTTGTCATGGCGGCGAGGTAGCCAGGATCGCAACAACAGAGATTACCTCGGCTATGCATCGTGAGTTCGCCCCCCCAGCCGCGAGGCCGAGAGTGGTTACCTGGTCTTCAAGCGGTTGACGGCGTTGGCGGCAGAGCAACAGGTGACACCTCATCACATAGCCGCCGACGCCATAACCGACAGGACCTTCGAAAAGAACCCAAAGTGTGGACATACAATTGCGAATGTTTAAAGGTTGTGGGCTGACTAGCGGAAATGCTCACTATTGCGGAGACCCAGAACGTGGACACCGCCTGTTTGCAAGAGGTTTGCCGACCATTGACAGCACCGTGGCCGTGCAGATCGTATATGATATTTGCCCAGTGGTAAGTCCTCATCTGCATGCACGTGACGGTGTCGTCACAGCTGTTAGTACGACGAGATGTGACGCATCCCAGATACGTTGTATGTATGGCCTGGCGTCCTGGCAAACTGTATGGTCTCATGATTAGATGCGGGAGTGGAGCGAATGAAATTTGTCACTACGTTGACAGTTGCCCGACTGGACCTGACAAAGACAGACAAGCAGCACGAGCTGACGTGGTAACATATATTGGCATTTGTTGGGCCAAGTGTGACCAGGCTGTGACATCTATGCTGCTTCATGACAGATGTGCTCTGAGTGTGTGTATCGGCGCCAGCGCCCAGGTCAAGCCACTGTTGCCTTGGATGGGGTATGGTGGTTCAGCGGTACGGCTCCAGAGTGCAGTGCGGAATGGCTACAACAGCCTGGATGCTGATGCTCTGATGGGCCTCGTTCGGCACTATGACTACTTAGTTTGATTTCTTTTGGACCTGATACGGTGGCCGATGGCACGTGGCAGCGCCCTGGCATTAAGCAATGGCCTCGTGGTGTTTTCATCATTGCAAAGGCAGCAGGCAGCAGGCATCGCACAGCAGAAGCGTTGACACATTGCGCGATGTCGCTGGGAGGAGCGAGGGATCATCGAGTTGCCCAAGCAAAGTTTCCGCTTGGAGCGCTGCACCAGCGACGTGCGCGAAGTGAAGCCCCGCGACACTGGGACAGGCAACAATTGCTCAGCACGCTCACTGAAGATAGGGACGAGGATGACGGAGCTCGGCTTGATGTTCAGTTTCGAGACCAGGTAGAATGGCGACCACATGAAAGAAATGGCTGTGCGCATCTACAGTCATGGGAACAGGTGCGTGGCAACGGGCTCTTCTTATGATAGTAACACCTCTTACTTGGCCGCGTTGGAAGCGGCGGTGGTTCACGCTTGTGCGCTCATTTTTGCGATGGGCCCGAACGCGAAGATTCGCAAGTCTCCTCGGCACTTCACTGATGAGATGGTCGCTACGATACAACGGACGCACGATCCCCAGAAGCGACTAGCCAGCGTTCAATCACGGCGACCAGGCCCTCAGCAAGTTGCGCGCGGTTAAGTGGAGGCGGGCTCGCAGCGACGCCGCGTCGGCAATCTGGGCCGAGAAGCAGAAGCCAGTTATTTCTGTATGCGAGGAGGCTGAGGAGGCATCACGCAGACATGACATTCGCGGTGCGCTTCAGTTAGCACATCGGCTGTCAACAAAACAATATCGCGATGGTGACGGTTTGGGATGGGAATGCGCCGCGCATGGACCTTGACCATGAGATGGATGTTTGCACTAAAGCTTTCATGCAGATTTTCGAAAGCTCCGAGCTTCCACTCCATGAGCGACCCCTACCGGTTTGCCGGAGTATTGTTGGCGAAAATGATCAGTCACAGCACCTCGTGGACATCGCACAAGAGACGGTCGAAAGAGCAGCTGGGATCCCACCGAGCAACAGAGCGGCACCAGGTCTTCATATTGCAGATGATGATGGGCAGGGCTTTTTGTCGGGAGCGGCTGTGGAGCTGTGGAAGCTCGCACTTCCTGTGGTGGCAGTGCCGCTTACTTATCTAGCGGCAGCTGTTGGGTCTCGTTTGGAGGCCCCGACGCAATGCAAAGACGGGGAGATTGTGTTTCTGAGAAAACCAAAAGGTGGCGGCCCTCACGCAGCTAATCATAATCGCGCATTGAATATCTTGTCGCACTTGAGTAAGATGGTCTCTCGGCTGGCCCTTCCCCCCGTTCAGATATAGTTTGGTTGTTGTTGTTGCAGTTCTCCAGTTCGGGGCCCTTACTGGTCGCGCCACCCGCGGCGCCCTGGCTTGCGTTGGCGAAACGAGCTCCAGGAGACCTAAGCGCAAGGCGTCGACCTTGGCTGCCGCGTTGTTTGACTTGGAGAAGGCCTTTGATACGCTGGCCACAGAAGACATCTGGACGGCCCTGCAGGATCTTGCTCCATCTAGGGGGGCTAGCTCTATTTGAAGAACGGCTTCGTGACGGCACTTGCTACGTGGCTAGGGATATTCAACCTCAGAGGGTTATTCGGAGGTCCTTGATCCAGACAGGAGTTCGGCAGGGCAGCGTTGAAGGACCCGCCTTCTTCCTTGCTGTATATGAATGAGTTCGCGGTTAGTTCAGGCTGCTCGCGCTGCTGCCGGCGGCGACCCCATCGGCGCGCGCGCCAACCTGGCCTCGGCTAAGTGGCGAGAGCACGGGAATCTGATGTTGGATGACCCCGAGCTTGTTTCTCTGGATGTGTCGCAGTTGGAGTTCGTCGACGACCTTGTTTTCTTCTTGGAAGGAGGCGGATTTCAGGGCCATCGAGGATTCCGCATGACTCGTTCAGAGCACGGCATCGAGAAAACAGATGAAAGTCAACGCCAGTAAAACGGAGGCACTTTTCGTGGTCTGCGGGGCGGGCCCCAAAAAACGGAACATGGAAATCCAGCAAGATTGAAGTTTGGATCGGGGGGCGCTGCCTTTGCAGCAACGCCGCCGGTCAGACGCACGGAGCCCAGGTTCGCGGGCGCGGGCGGTCGTTCGAGGAGGTCACCGGTCGTATATAAAAGGCCGCAGCCGCTCATGCTCGATTGACTTTGCAAGTTTGGCGTGGCACATCCATTCCCACTCCTCTGTAGATGCGGCTTCGGAGCTCTCTGGTTCGATATATTTTGCTTTATGCGACGGCGCGTATTATGGCGGCTTCAGACGCGCCCGCTTAGAGCGTTGCCAGAACGAAAAAAAAAGCTTCGCCTGATTTTGAAACGCCCTGTTCATCTTGAGCGCGTTTCTAACCCTGTCATCCGTGAACGCGCTCGTGTCTACAGCACACAGATTACACTTGTTTTCCGCCGGCTGCGCCGGCGGAGACACGCACTTAGACCTGCGTTCTGCGAGTGCCCCGATGGCGCCCCATCGAACTATGCAGGCGCAGTGGGAGTCAGAGCTATCATGCTTGGTCGGTTATCTTTTGAGAAAGAGGAGGAGGTGGAGGAGGCGCCGTTCGTGATCTATGGATTCACTTTGTCGTGCCCTGCGTGAGCGATTGCCAGCTCTACCTGAAGCCCGTCGTCTCGAATTTTTCTCAGAGTGCAGGACTTGAGAAGGTAGGTGATATTGTTGAGCGAGAGCGGCTCCGTGAGTTGGCGCGGATGCCCAAAGCATATCTAAAGCGCGTCCTGTTTGTGCGATCGCGGCGCGACGTCGGCGACGTTGAAGTTGTTCGTCCGCTAGTGTGCCCTGAATGTACTGAAGTTACGTAATGGAGAGCGCGGTCTGGCTATACATCGCGCCCGCATGCATCGCGTCCGACCGCTCGCCGACGTGCCTGATTTGACATGCCCCTTGTGTCGGCAGCAGTTCACCCGCCATGACACATTATTGCGACATGTGCGCCGACGATGTACTGCACCTGTTGAGGCTCGGGCTCAAACCTTGCAAGTCCCCGTCGATCAGATCGCACCTGCTGCGCGCGCGCCCCCTGTTGCTAAACGGCCGGCGGCTGTGCTTCGGAGACCTGCTGCAAGCCTACCGGATGGCGATGTCCGGAGAATGCGACGCGGCGGAAGCAGCTATGACGACGGGAGAGGGCCCCGGGCGCAAGCGAGGGGGCGAGGCAGAGGACGAGGCAAAGGGAAAGGACGAGGACGAGGCGCGGCCCAAGTTGAAGAAGCTGGCCATGGCGATGGCGAAGTGCACGATGCATTTGGTGGACGAGAATCGCAACCACGCCACGATTGACAACTCGTACTCCAGGCGCTGTCGGACGGCGCGCATGCGAAGATGACGCGCAAACAGGAGTCGGACTACGCAAACAAAGGAGAGGCGGCAACGGCAGGCAGAGGAGGACAACTATGACTGTCGGGGCCACCACATGGGAAAAAAATGTGTTGGATCGTGCGCCGTTCGTTCGCTTATCTCGACTTATCCGGCCGCCTGGGATCATGGAACACTTGAATGCTTCGGGAACAGCGTTGCAAGCTATCAAAAACGTGCGCACATTCGGTGAGCGTGCAAAAGTTGACTCAACGATGCGCTGCCAGCGTGCCTTTCGTGTTGAAGTTGAGTTGGACGGGGTAGCAATCGATAGTGGATCTTCTACTTCCTGAGGGAGTCAGTGATGAATGAGATGCGCATTCTATTGAGTGATCGCACGCTTGAGAAAGTAGGCTCGGCAACCCATGAGGATTTAGCACCGCGGACGGCAGCTGCAAACGAAGTGGCGGCCTTGGCGTTCAAACCATAGACATCGAAGAGTGGCCCTTCTTACAAGAAGAAGGCCAAGAAGATCTAACCTCTTTTGTTTTGGTGTTGCGAATGGCCGAGGTGCTGCGCAGAGACGTTGCACTGGTCGCTCGTGGCAGAGCCTGGCCACAGAGGTGGCCAACGCTGTGGGCGATGCCTCGCCGTGCCCGCGGCGCAGCAGGAAGTCTGTAACATGTTATAGAAATCTCGCTTCAAGCCTGATATGGGGTTGCGCGTAGTATTATATATACACGTAAGTATGTGTATGTGTATTTGCACGCGTATATATATGTGTTTATATATATACACATACATACGTACGTACATACATCCATACATACATACAAACATACATACATATACATATACATACAAACATATATACATACATACATACTAGTGTGGGCCCGTGGATTAAATCCACGTGGCTGCGTGTTTCGAGGTTTGCCGACGCGCGGTTCTGTCTCTGGCGCGCAACTGCCAGCAAGTTGCGGTGTGCGATCGACGACCAACGAGGAATCGATGAGTTCCGCTTCTCCAAGACCTCTTGGGGGTCCTCCTGGTGCTCTTTTCGGGAGCGTGCGGCGCACGGGCCGTCCTGACAGCATCTAAGGCCGTCTTGGGGTCCTTGTAGGCAGGCTCGAGGCCTTCTTGGCCTGTGTTGGGAGCCTCTTGGGAGCTTGTTGGGCCGTCGTGGGGGCCTCATAGGGATCTATTGTGCCGTTGTGAGGGCCTCTTGGGCCCCCTTTGGGCCCCTCTTGCAAGTCGTTGCGGAATACGCACAGCGTCTCAAACTTTCTTTTCTCCCACACGGTCGACCATCCGACCGGGCTCTGCTCACAGAGCCACTGTCAAAACATGTGCCCGCGAGCACAAGCGAGGGGGCGTTCGCTTGATATAATGGCAAACGGAGAAAAGAATATGCAACATATTGTCACGTCTAACACGTGCATGTTAGAATGGCTCCTCCACGGAACCCGTGTCACTGCAACTATCCCAAGAAAATTTCCAGAGCCTCATAGGGTGCACCACTTTGGGGCCCCGCAACTAAGGGCCTGTATACACGAGAGGCCCATGTATGTCATGTAATATGTATAACCTGCTCAGGCTTGCCTACTAAGATTTGCACGGATAAGGGTTCTCCAAGTTGAACATGGTTCAGTACATCACCTCGTCATCGCTGCTGTAATCAGAAACCGCCGTACCTGTCGCAGCGTACATGTCACCGTCCTTTTCATCCTCCTGTCGCAGTGTTCCAGGAGGGACGCTCTCGAACGGGAGTATCCCCGCGGCCTTCCGCTTCTTGGCACTCTGGTACTTGGCATCGTAGACCAGGTTCCACCTGTGGCCACTGCTGTAGTACATCCTCAGCTGTCCAGGCTCATGCCCGGCTGCCCTTTTGTCAAAGAGTTCGCCAGCTGAGCATCACCGTGTACCCACAACACCCAGTTGTTGGACGCAGTCGATCCCTCCTTTAAAGTCATGGCCTCCACGTCCGTCCGCTTCTCCTTGCCCCAGAACGTGTACACCGTAGTCTGCAGCTGATCGTAGAGCCCCTTGGCGTCCACCACGAGGGCGGCAGGTAACTGGCATATGGTCCTCTCCGGGTTGCGCCAGTCAATCTGGTTGCCGAGGATCTCCAGCCACTGGAGCTTGATCCCGAATAGTTCATCTTCCCCGTCCACGGCTGATCGGGTCTCACATGATACGGAGCTCCGGCACCCTCGGTCAAGCTTGCCTGATTTCCAAGAGATCATGCTCACGTCGGACTCATCCCCCTGCAGGATACGGAGTGGGGCCATCCCTGTGACAAGTCCCTTGGTAGATTTTCCGTCGGGTCGGTTTGCTTCTGAGGAATCTGACCACTCGATGGGAACAATTACCTGCGCGTTGGAATGGCTATGGAGGACCACGGGGAGATCGGCTCCTTCCCGTACTCTGTCCACCAGGCGGTTCGTGTCCAGTAGGGTCTGCACGGTGGACGATGGTATCGTGCTAAGCAACAGGCTGGTGTCCGCCGAGTGCATGGGGCCGGACTGCTCTGAGCGCCAGCCGATGGCCCCCAGGATGGCCCTTAGCTGCCCCTTCTCCTTGTCTGTGGTCGGGGCGTCCTTGTGCTTCTTCCGCTCCGGGCTCACGACTGCCTTCTCGATGGTCTTCACGTACTCGCTTTGGTCCATCTTGAAACTCATATCTGGCATCTGGCGGATCCGGACACCCGTCTGCATGAACTCGTCGGTCTCCCAGGCCTCCCACTTGAACCGCTCTTCGATCTTCTTCCGGGCTTCGATCCACCTGGGGTCTGTCTCCTTCCCCCCGAGCAAGAAGTCATCCACATGTGACCCCGCAATAGCCACAATATCCAGGTCACCCTTCGCTGCGACCAGCTCGCTCACCACCTCGGATCCGGTGAACTGGTCTAGGGCTTCCTTAGTGAAGCTGTTGTCCTGGCAATGGGATTGACCGTAGAGCACCCAAACGCACGGGTCCATCTTCATTTGCGTCCAGCCGAACTCCTCCAGGGCCTCGCTCACCGTCATGCACCACTCAATCGCTGCCTCCACGAGCCCATAGACTGCCTTCCTTAGCCTCATTGCAACCCCTTCGGGCATACCCAGGGCCACAGCAAGCTCCTTTACGGGCATTGCGAACAGGTCGTGCTTGATCTCCCGGTTCTGGGTGAACGCTCCTGTCACATCCGCCTTGTACCCCTTGAATCCGAGCCACGCCATAGCCTGCAGCACCAGGTGCCGGGAGGTCCTGGTCATTGTCGGAGCTGTCGTTGGCCGGTGTTCGTATTCAGGGTCCATGTAACCTAGCACCACGATACGGGCCTTGGGCTTCTTTTCGCTGGTCGCCTCGTCCATCTTCCACTCCAGGATCCACCGCATGCGCATCACCTCCTCTGGTGGCGGGGTGACTCCTGGTGGCAAGGATTCCAGCACGGATGAGATCACATAGTTATTCACCTCGGTGGCCTTGGCGACACTGAACTTCTTCACCTCCTCCGGGGTTAGGGTCCGCTCTGAGATCTCTCGTTTCCCCCTTTTTAGCTGGCCCGCCATGTAGGTGCTCAAGTGCCTCGTGGCCTGCTTCAGGGGCTTTCCCGCCAATGGCAACTCGACCGAGATCTCCAGGGATGTCCCCTGCCGTGCCCAGAAAGACCGGGCGTCTGGGGATGCCTTGGCCATGAGGGCAGCTCTTTTCATCATGAGATCCTCCCCCTGTGCAGTCCGGGCGGCCTTCACGATGCTGGCCACTCCCCCTGGCGGTGGGGCCTTCTTCCGAATTGCCTTGCGCACAGGGTTCTGGTTGCGCTCGGACTTGGGCTCCTCCAACGGCTCCTCGTGGCGCGCCCTTTTCATCGGAGGTGCTGGCTCAGGCACCCCTTCCCAGGATGCGAGGTCCTCGTCTTGCTCTGTGGGGTCGTGCCCCGAGAAGTCCAGGTACTCCTGCCGCATCGCCTGATTCATGAATGTGTTCACGGTCCAGGGTGTGTCCTTGCCCGCCATGAGCTCGGCATAGGCGATCTCCCGCGCGGAAGCAGCCCGGACCTGGCATAAATCCACCTTGATGATGCGCCCTGCCCGGACCAACCAGACCACAGGTCCTGCACGACCTGGATGCAATGTCTGGTTTACTCCGAGGTCACCGTCCACGGGTCGGTTCGTCTCCGCAGCGAGCACTCGCGCAAGCCCTTTGAATCGGCCCTTGACCTCGCCCTTCTCCTTGCGGAAATAGCGCACCCACATGCTGGGGGCCACGGCCTTGAGCGACTGGTTCTTGGCGTTCTCCGCCAGGCTCAGGCGACGCAGGTATACCTGCCTCAGGTACTCCTGCTCGGCCGCGTACATCCTCATGTAGTTCTCGCCGAACTCCTTGTCGACCCGCTGGGCCTCAACGTACGGCAGCTCGTCAAAGTTGTTCTCGAAGAAATGGCCGTCAAGGTCAGGAGCCCTTCCCAGTGCGTGCTGCAATGGGGAATGACCTCGTACATCCTCTCGAGAGTTCCCGGCTGCTGTGCCGCGGGCCAAGGCCTCTTCAGTGGACATGTCCGGGTTCTCAGTCACGAGCTTGTCCATAGTCCCCTTGGTTGCCTGGATCGCCTCTTCAGCGAGGGAGATGTGCCAGTGGGCCTGGCCGGGATCGGCTCGTACCCGATGGAATCTGACTCAAAATATTGGGCGGCCTGCTTGGACATCCATGAACCCTCGGGATCCCCCTTCACGCGCTGCGGCTTCCCGAAGTACGGCAGCCACCTCTCTTCGTAAAAGCTCTTGAGGTCGGCCCAGACGGGATTCCTGTGGCGGTCCTGGCCCGCCATGTGGTACAACAACTTAGTGACCCGGACCTTGCAGTTCTCGTCAATGATCAGCGAAAATTTGGCCTTGAGCTTAGTCCTGGGGTGCTCCCACTCGAACTGGTCCGCCTGGATCTGCTTCCACTTCGGGGGTATGGCCTCGAGACTGACCGGAGGGTGCGTAGGGCGGTGGTTGTTCGCCTCCTCGCACTCTTCGCAGTGGAAGTCCTGGGCCACTTTCATCACCATGGGGCTTACCCCCCTTCCTTTTCAGCGCATTCAGCATGGACGCTTTGGAACTGTGTCCGGACCCTCGGTGCACAGATGTGAGCCCATGATCTTCTGGTACTCCTTGGACCCCGGGTCCGCAGCGGGTGAAGCCGACTCCTGTTGTCCCGCCAGGGCGTGCATGTTGGTTTCATTGTCCTGGGACATGTTCCTCAGGAACTCGTGGTAGTCCGGGGCGGCTTCCTCGATCATGGCCCGCACGGCCCTCCGGGCGAACTCGTCCGTGTAGTAGCTTGTCGAGGCCGTGAGGCTTCCGCTCATGAGTTCACCATGCCGATGATCTCCGGGGCATTCTGTGGCCATCCGAGCCGCCATCTTCGGTGAGGTCGTTGCGATGAGCCACTCCTTCAAGAGCGGCTCGCCCGTCTCATTCTTGACCCCGAGCTGGCACCCAGCCACCTTTACCACGGTCATTGAGCAGTCATCGATCATCTTGCGAATCATGGCATGGCCCCATCCTTCACACTTGATGGGCCACTCCCAGTGGGCGTGCTTGCCCTGTGCCACCTGGTCGTAATTACACTAACTGCACCGCGCCCTTGTACTCTTTGATCGCCTGGAGCCGACGTTTTCTGGTCGCCTCCGCCCTGGCCGGGTTGGAAGTGTTGAAACCGAGAGTCAGCGTGGACAAGGGACCACATCGAGTGCCGATCCAGAGGTGGTCAGGCTCTGCCTTGTCCCGGGTCTCTCGCGCCTTCTGGTTGCCCGGGGATGTCCCGAGCTTGTGGCCGTTCCATGAGCTGACTCGCCGCACTGCCTCCTCGCCAAACTTCTCGGCCATCTTCGAGCTCAGGATGGATGCGGGACTACAGGCCAGCTCCATGAGCTTGACCCCACCATGTGCCATCAGTGCCTCGAAGTCCTCGGTGCTGTTGCTCTCCCTGATACACTTTGCGAGCCATCGCTGCTTCCTCGGGTCGAGCTCCTTGACATGGTTCAAACCCCTGCTGGACCACTCGGACTGCGCTCCACTGCGACAAAGCTGTCCGCAGAACTCGGTGCCCTCGGTGCCTCGAGGCGCTCCAGCCTCTGGTTGAGCTGACCCAGAGCTGCCAGCATCTCCTTCTGGATCTGGCGGTTGGGTGTCGTCACCTCCTGGTGAGCTGACTGCACCGTCTCCTCGTCGAGCTCGTCTTCCATCATCACGTCCATCGTGCGCCATTGAGATGACCTCGCGCCCCCTCGTGCCCTGGTAGGCTCCGCCGGAGCTTCCCCCGGGCCTTTGGTCATCTCTTGTATTACCTTCGTCTCGTTGAGCCATGAGACACACCGGGTGAGCTCCCAGCTGCTCTCTGTGCTGGCCTCCTTCGTGGCCCACTCGGTATAGGACGGGTACTGGATCCGGACCTGCTGGTACGTCAGGGCTCCGTGCTTCCCGAAACCCATGATGTCCGTCGCCTCTGGCTTCGTCTTCATCAGTACGGCCTTGCGGATCTCAAGCTTCATCGCTGCCTTCGTCATATTCGGCGTGAGGTGGGCTCCGACCTCCTCCGCCTTCTGGACCAGCTCCGGCTTCTTCATGTTGTTGACTCCCTTCAGTGCCTTCTGAGAGTCGCCCTCGGCCTTCGGGAAGAGGGTCTCCTTGATGGTGTGCCTCAGCTCGTCCGCCGACCAGGCCGGGCTGAAAGGCAAACCCAGCTCCCTGATCAGCTCCACCGCCTCTGTCTTGTGGAGATGGTGCACCTCTCTCCGGGAAGCTGGCACTCTCCATCTTGGGCTGGCATCTGCATGCGGCACCGACGCAGGCCAGCTGGATCGCTCCTCTGACGAACCTGCTGTTGAACATCTGGCTGCCATCCGCTGGCAGCGGTCGAGTATATGTAGGTTCTGGGGGTGCAGGCTGCACCAAGTCGATCAATCCAGCTGCTGGAGATCTCGCCGGGCTCGAGCCAGAACGGCTATGGATGCCCTGCTGGTCTCGTTCCTTCTCTGCTTGGGCCCTCCTTGGATCTCGGACTGTTCGAAGCCCGTCGCTCGACCCACCGATGATGCTGGCGACGCGAGGGGAAGGAGGTAGGTGCGAGTATTCTCCATCTTTCTCGGACACGTCTTCTCCGAGCTGCACCTGCCCCACTGCTGCGGCCGTATCTGGCCTGCCCCACTCAGAGACATGCTGGCTGATCCTCCTGAAGTTCTGCAGCCTGGCCGGGTCACACACCCGGTGCTCTAGGATGTCGTCTACCAGGCTCATGTAGTAGTGTCCGCCGTCGGGCGATTCCTCCAGCTGCACATGGATAATTGGGGCCACTTCACGAACACTGCGACACCCGTGTCGCAATCAATGACTGCCCCCAGCTTCTTAGAACCTTCTTCGACACGAGGATCGGGACGTCCTTCGCGAACCCGTTGATCGCGATGTCCCCCTCGTTGCCCGCGCCCGTGATCCCGAACTTCACCTGTCCGTAGGCGCGCTCCTTCTCTGCGTTCCCGAAGCTGTATACCGGCTGGTAGCTTCGGTTCACTTCACGGAGCCTCGTGTCACCATACTTCTCTAGGTTCTTGCGGGCTACGATGTCGAGCGCACGCTCACCTCCCATGGTGTCCGTGCAGCCTTAGTCGACGATGCCCTTGCCCTCCAGGATGGCTTGTTCCGCGAACATCGCCTCACTTGGTGAGTCCCCAGACTTTTGCTCGGCGACCCTGGCGGCCACTAGGTTGAACTTCAGCTCCTTCGTGTGGATGGCCATCTTCGCGCTTGCCTCGAGCGTGTTATTCCCCTTGGGGCTGGCGCGAGGATCATGACGGTCAGGGCAATCCTGGAGCCAATGACTACCACCACATCTCGGACACTTATTCTGCCCTTTGTTCGGGGATTGAATCGTCCCTCGACCTCCGTATTGGCTGCCCATCGGCTGGCGAGATCCCGCTGGGAACCCTCCGCCAGCTCCTCGGCCACCGCCTTTTGCTTGACCACCTGGCCGGCCACCGCGGTAAAAGCCACGGCTCAGCCGACTGTCAGCCTGCGCTTCGCGAGCCTGGCGTAGGGTTCGCTGGGCCGTGTGGAGTGCAGCCAATGCCTCGGCTTCCTTCTGCTGGGCGGCCATGTACGCCTCGGTCTCCTCGTCATCCGCCTCGGCCATGTCATGTTCCTCATCGAACTCCTCGCACTCCTGCTCCGCCGCGAAGCTGCCCACACCCTGCTCCACATGGTCCTCGTCGAGCCATGTGCGGTCATCATCCCCCATCTGCGCCGTGTACGCCTTCGGATATCGAGCATGGCCATCTCGCTCTGCCAGGTCATCGTCCTCCCAGGCTGAGATCAGCTTCTCACGGATCGTGCTTACCTCCAGCGAGCCACCAGTGGCAGTCATGATGGCAGATCTCTCCCTGGAGTCCAGACCCGCGCGCGCGAGCATCAGCCAACCCCGGACGATGCTCGGGAAGACCTCTGGCATCGGCGTCATCGTCGTTGGTGATACTACAGGTGCGCGACCCTGTATCGTCTTCTCCTCGGCCATCGGTGTACTCTCACGTCCAGCTCGGGCCCTCGTCATCTTCGTCCCTTTCGACTTCAACCCATCTCCATGGTCTGGGGGTCCAGCTTGACGTCGAGGGGGGACTCTGAGTCGGGTGGCCGAGTGCCCGTGCCAGTGCTCGTCGAAGGTACTGGTACCCGTTCTCGAATCTGTCGGTCCACTGCTGCATTGGCTCGAGTTTCCTGCGCCTGGTCTTGACTAGGAACGTCTCCAGCTCCTGGCCCACGTCTGGGACCGCCTGGCGCGAGCAGCGGCGCTCCAGCCACGCCAGGAGTCGCTCCACACCGTCATCTATGGAGAGCCATCCTGGCTTACAGCGCTCAACTGCAACCTCAGCCCTGCCCGTGAGTCTTGCCTCTAGCCTCGGGCCACACAAGTACCTGTCTTGTCTCTTCGTGCCCTCCTGGTACTGGAGGGCCTTCCGTCGATAGGTTCACCAGGTCTTTGGATCTCCATCCCAGCCTGGCACTTTGTCGCCGCGATGTTCCTCCTTCATCGCGGTGTTTTCCGTGGATCTTCGTGTCAACCACGAGCTCCTGCTACCATGCAAGTCGTTGCGGAATACGCACAGCGTCTCAAACTCTCTTTTCTCCCACACGGTCGACCATCCGACCGGGCTCTGCTCACAGAGCCACTGTCAAAACATGTGCCCGCGAGCACAAGCGAGGGGGCGCCCGCTTGATATAATGGCAAACGGAGAAAAGAATATGCAACAGATTGTCACGTCTAACACGTGCATGTTAGAATGGCTCCTCCACGGAACCCGTGCCACTGCAACTATCCCAAGAAAACTCCAGAGCCTCATAGGGTGCACCATTTTGGGGCCCCGCAACTAAGGGCCTGTATACACGAGAGGCCCATGTATGTCATGTAATATGTATAACCTGCTCAGGCTTGCCTACTAAGATTTGCACCTCTGGGGCTGTTTTGGGGCTATCTTGGGCTCCTCATGGGCCGTCTCGGGGCGATCCTGGAGGCCTCTTGGGCCGTCTTGGATTCCAGACGGTTGAGAGCGCGAGAATCTCAGAATCCGTAGGACACCCACGGACAATCTACGATTTTGGCTTCTTGGGGTCCTCTTAGGGTGTCCCCTCGGAGCCGTCCTGGGGCGTCTTGGTGGCTTATGAGGCCTTCTTGGGAGCATTTCAGGCCGTCTGAAGGCTGTCTCGGGCCACCTCGGGGCTGTCTCTGGTCGCTTCGGGGCCTCCTGGGGCCGTCTCGGGGCTCTTCTGGGGAGTTCCAGTGCCGTTTCCGGGCTCTCCGGGCGCCTTCCCGTGCCGTTTCGGGTTCTTCCGGGGGGCTCGGGGAGCCGGGGGCCCCCTCCAACCCACCAAGCTCCTTACGGATTTGTTTGAATGGATCTGTAGTTGTAGGTGTGTATGTATGTATATATACATAGATATATATATATATATATATATATATGTATGTATATATATTTATATGTATATATATATATATATATATGTATGCATATGTGACTATACATATATATATATATATATACTTGTCTATGTGTGTATGTGTATATTGTGAATACATACGTACATATATGCATGCATGCATACATACATACACACGCGCATTACAGTCCTGCATGCATGCATGCATACGTATATACATACATACAGTTATACATACATATATACATACATGCATACATACATACATACATAGATATACATACATACATGCATACATACATGCGTGCATACGTACATACGTACATACATACATGCATACATACATATACAGATATACATATATATATATACATACACACATGCATACATACATGCATACGTGCAGACTTGCATATATATATATACACATACATACATACATACATACATACATGCATACATATATACATACATACATACATACATACAGACAGACAGACAGACAGACAGACAGACAGACAGACATACATACATACATACATACATACATGCACACACATACATACCCATATACATACATACATACATACATACATACATACATACATACATATACATACATACATACATACATACATGCATGCATGCGTGCATGCATGCTTGCATGCATACATACATACAACCATGCATACATACATACATACTGGAGTTGACACCCCGTGGTGATTCGGCCATCTTGTACGTCCGCCTCAAAGGGAGTCCCTGTGTGGCGGCATACAAAAGCATCCCCCCGTGCGACGGTTTTCAATAGGAGCCTTCCGTCGTAGGCCCCCGAGTCAGAGTAATTCAAGCTGTAGCAGGGCCTTTTCAGCTCCGTTCGGTGCAGGATTTCATGTGAAGTTCCATACTCTGCGGTGAGATCCAGAATATTCCCAATCGGATGTAATTAGGAATGGAGTAGAGCCCAGACCCAGATGATTTCAAGGTGACTCCAACAGGGGTCACATCGGGATGGTGCAAATCAGGAGCAAATAAAGAAACGCCTGGGACTGAGTGCCTTGGTTGTTTTTCGTTGCTGGCGGCCCTGTGGACTCCCGATTGACTTTGACACGAATGAAATGAATCTGCAAATCTGCCACACAAGGTATCTGTTTGAAAAGCCATTACCAGAGATTATTTTGATTAGGCCCACTGGGCCGCCAACCACAATGAATCAGTGAACATCTGATGATAGCAGGCGTATTCTGTTTTTCCTTTTTATTGTTTTTTTTGTTGGCTGCCACCCCCTGGTTCTTCGGCCATCTTGTACGTCCGCCACAAAGGGAGTCCCTCTGTGGCGGCATACAAAAGCATCCCCCCGTGCGACGGTTTTCAATAGGAGCCTTCCGTCGTAGGCCCCCGCCTCAGAGTAATTCAAGCGGTAGTAGGATCTTTGCAGCTCCGTTCGGTGCAGGATTTCATGTGAAGTTCCATACTCTGCGGTGAGATCCAGAAGATTCCCAATCGGATGTAAATAGGAATGGGGTAGAGCCAAGACCCAGATGATTTGAAGCTGACTCCAATAGAGGTCACATCGGGATGATGCAAATCAGGAGCAAAGAAAGAAACGCCTGGGACTGAATGTGTTGGTTGGTTTTCGTGGCTGGCGGCCCTGTGGACTCCCGATCGACTTTGACACGAATGAAATGAATCTGTAAATCTGCCACAAAGGCATCCTTTTGAAACGCCATTGCCAGAGATCCTTTTGATTAGGCCCACTGGGCCGCCAACCACAATGAAT